ATTGATTATGTAAACTTATTTTATAAAATGCTTTGTTTGAAAAGACTTAATGCTAAAACAAATCTGACAGATAAAAAGAAAGTATCTGTTTCGCAGCAAAGTTTTTCTTGGGTCCGCTGCTACAAGCTATTCTTACAAATTTGAAATATACTGTCAGAATTTTATAAAGATTGAAATAAACGAACAGTTGTATAAATTGTTACTTATTTTTAAGGTTTCGTTTAGCCATTAAAAGAACGATAGTAAAGCATTTAGCTCAAAATTTTCCCTAAGATATCGGTATTTGTTTTTTCACATGCTTGAATATTTTATCAACAAAAGTAAAACCAGTTAAAGTCAGTAAGTTGTATCTTTTGGATATCCAGTTTCGTGCATTTTTTTGGAAAGTTACCTCTCATTGGTATTGATATTCCAACATAACGTTATCGGCGTTTAAAACCGCCTCTTGCTTAGAGAATCAAACGTTTTGTTTTACATCTAAATTATAATTTCCCAAAATAGAGTGAAAGCTAAACCTTACTGAGATTTAACTTCATTTGCTGCTTTGACATCTAAATTCGAGTGTTGCTTGGCTTTATCCAAATTCACATTCCATCGTAATGTGGTTCACTCGTAATGTTCTATCTTGTAACTGTGTGTACAGCTCCGTGTATACCAGGTAATGCAAACCTCGAACATGAACGAAGAAAACAACACGACTACTGGACATTCGAAGCGTCAGTATTCACTCTGTGGGCTGGGAAGTGTTTTACGTCAAGCCTGCCATAATGGACTGGTTGAATGACCCTCAAAAAAACCTTGGTGAGTAATAGAGCATATAATTAACGCTGATAATGTAATGTTATTTTGTACATTCAAAGTTATTCAAAATTTATAAGTAAGTTTCATTTCATTTTATTGGCATGTTTATACTTTTTATCGCCGTCAGGTTTAATTTGTGTTATATTAAAAAAATGTATTTAAATATTTAGTTAATATATTTTTGTCGATTTCAGAACTCTCGCGCAAAGCTACACTGAGGGCTATTTTGTGCATAATCGTCCCTATTTTTCAACTGATAGACTAGAGTGAAGTCAGCTAATCGCACCCATCTTCATTTTATTGGCTACTCTTTGTCCGACCGAATACTAGGATTTGACCATTACTCTTATAAATCATGAATGACAATCGCGGAGTGCGATATTGCGGCAACGGTATGAAAATCATGTACCATCGGATTCACTATTTGGTTCACTAACCGATAGGTCATGCCCAGTTATATAAAATCCATATGGGTCTTTTGTGATAGTAGTTATCGATCCTATCAAATTTTCACTGTAAATGGCTTTGACATTTAGTACACTTAAACAACTCCACCTATATGTGTTGTAATATGTTGTATTAATACGCTAAAGTAGACCTTTGTTTGGCTTGAAGGTTATCTGCGCTAGCCGTCCCTAATTTAGCAATGTAAGACTAAAGGGAAGGCAACTAGTCATCACCACCCACTGCCTGCTCTTGCGTTACTCTTTTACCAACAAATAGTGGGATTGACCGTAACATATAAGGCCTTCACGGCTGAAAGGGCGAGCATGTTTGGTGGGACGGGGATTGGAACCCGCGACTCTCAGGTTTCGAGTCAAGCGCCCTAACCACCTGGCCATGCCAAAAGTGAAAGATAGACTGAGTCTAGTTGAACGCGCTTCTACACTAAACGGTAAGAGTAAAAGTAAAATTTATTTTCCTCTTGGACAAAATATAAAGTAAAGAGCACTTTAATCTGCTCCAATTTCATTTGTGTCGTAATACAGTAAATATTATGATGATATTTATAGTTCAAAATACCCTTTTCTTGTATTTTTAATGATATCATAATAATAGTAAAGTCCTCATTTTGACAGCTCATTTATAAGCTCTGATTCAACAAATTTTAATTAACCAAAGTAATACAAGAATCTTGGTTCTGTAAAGCAACTCCATAAAAAATATTTCCAGTTGTAACACGTTGAATTTTGGCTGAAGTATTCTTTCATCTGAGTTGCAACGAGGCAAGTCAAATAGACCCACAGTATGGAGTTCAAAATAATATTGTTGTCAAGACTCCTCAACGAATTTTTGTTTTTCACATATTTGGTGTTTTATATCTTATAGGGCGATCGACTTGAAATCTGAAGGTCGCGGGTTCGAATCCCCGTCCCACCAAACATGCTCGCCCTTTCAGCCGTGGGGGCGTTATAATGTGCGGTCAATCTCACTATTCGTTAGTAAAAGAGTAGCCCAAGAGATGGCGGTGGGTGGTGATGACTAGCTACCTTCCCTCTAGTCTTACACTGCTAAATTAGGGACGGCTAGCGCAAATAGCCCTCGTGTTGCTTTGCGCGAAATTCAAAACAAACAAACAATATTTTATAGACTTAGTAGTAGTGATTTGTGTCAGATCGGGAAACCAGGTTTATAGCGTTTTAAGTCTGCAGACATACTGATGTGCCACTGGGGGGCATTTCGATAAATATTTCTAAAATTTTCTCATATATTTTCAAATTATCGTCTATAAAAGGAACTTACATAGAAACGTTAAGTATATATAAAATATATTTACATTTAAGGTTAAACGAATAAATTTGAAAACAAGTTACTTTTAAATCTATAAGAGTCGTGAATAATAGTTCTTTTCACAGTTTATCTCCCGAACGGAGATGGTCTCGGGATACTGAATTTGTAGCTTTGTGATTTATTTTTTCAACAAGAATTGTTTATAGATTTTTGTTGTATTTCGTTTGTTTGAAATTAAGCACAAAGCTACACAATGGGCTATCTGTGCTTTGTCCACCATGGGTATCGAAACCAGGTGTATAGCGTTTTAAGTCCGCAGACATACCACTGTGCCACTGGGGAGCATGTCGTTTGTTTGAAGTTAAGCACAAACTTAAACAATAGGCTATGTGGGCTTTGCCCACCATGTGTATCCAAAATTTATTGAAATTTGCACATTGACTCAAAAATTTTGTAAACAACTTTTGAAAAACATCAGCAAGAGGTTTTAAATTGGAAATGATTAAAAATGTGCATTTTTTTTTATTAATACTGTACCATGCGTTTTTTTTTATATAAATTGTCAGGGTGTTTTAACTACACTGCACGTAACGATAAAAGGGAAAATTTATAATTTGTAATATTTCAACTATAACATTGTTATCAGATGTCGTCGAACACACTACTCAATTAATTTTTATGTAAAAACAAGTACATCGATGAACCGCCATGAGATCCAAAACGCAAGTGATTAATCATTCAGCCTACGCTTATTAACGAACATTTGACAGGTGCAGTTTTACACATTAACAATTATGACATTTCACTTTAATACAAAGTATAGTCAACGAAGGCAACCTGGTACCGATGATGGATACGTAAAGTCATAGTGTTGATACATTTCTGAGGTATTCTCGACCATTTCTCTGATAGTGCTGTTTTCAGGTCATCTTTAGTGTCCGATGTCACTTCACTATGTGCTTGGCGTTTCCAAAGTGTTTGCTATATATATATTAGATGAGACTGAACTCTGATGAACGCGTAGGCTAATCTATTCAACTATTTCTTTTGTATTCGATTTGTCGGACAGTATGTCATGACTCATCTGTGAAAGAATATTGCTAAATATGTCGCTCATATTCTAGACACATTGTTCGCATTATTGAATACGAGCTGTTTTGTGTCATGCTATTAGTAGAATACACTTCACTGTACATCTAGCATTCAGGCTGACTTTGTAAAGTTTGTTCCTAATCGTCCGTATACACAGATACAGTGTCCAGATGCGGCTTCAGATGTCTGATTCTGTCTCGAAAAAGGTGAAAATCAATCAGTTGTTTCTGCTGGGCGATTCGAATTCGATAAATTGTGGTCGTCTGCTTGAGTTGTGAATGACGGTCTGCTTTGTTGAAATTTTCGAACAACTGTGCCGCTAGCATGGAAGTGGTTCCACTTTCTTTTAAAACAACACTCTGAGACACTTCTAGGCAAGTTGCAACACCCAGCTATTAACAGCCAGCTTCCATTCGTCCAATGGTCCTCCCTAAAAGTAAAACAGCCAAATGCGTTCTTAGAAGCACTTTTAACTTTGTGATTATGTTCAGAGTAACAACAAAGACAATATTCTGTAATCTCGCTATTTATATAGCATAAGCTAAATGACGGATTATTTGTCTTTCAGAACACGTGGCTAAATATTAGATACCAGAGATACATAATAATGAATGAAGACAGATGTCTGACACTATCTCCCAACAGTTGCTTTGAGTTATAATTTAGTTTTGTTCAAGTACAATGTTACCCAATGGATTATCTGCGCTGTGACCACTGCGGGTATCGAACTCCGATTTTTAGCGTTATAAAACAACAAGATTAGCGCTGAGTCACTGGGGGTACTGCCTTGTCATAATATAATATTTCCTGTTCTGTTTATCCTTTATTCGAGTTGTTTGTTTGTTTTTAAATTTCGCGCAAAGATACACGATGGCTGGCTATCTGCGCTAGCCGTCCCAACGGGGATTCGAACCTGCGACCCTCAGGTTGAGAGTCGAGCGCCCTAACCACCTGGCCATGCCGGGCCGTATTCGAGTTGTGTAGTTAATTTGGTTTATTATGTTGTTTCTGTAATATTTGCATTTTGTAATAAAAAGGTATATTTTTACATAACGTTATATTATTCTACATTAATTTGACTTGGTCTTTCCATTTAGCTGGAATTTTTGATTTTATAGTTTCTTAATTATTTTCTCCAAGCGTCAAACATCCATATTTTAGAACACATTGTGTTTAATCTTTATTCGACAGTCTATTAAGTTTTAACGTGATAAATGTTGTACCGTTTTGATTTGGAACTCACTATATGTGACTTGCTTGATGTTTGTGATGATTTTCACTTATATAATGGAATGTAGAAAATTCGTTTGTTGTACATGTGTATATATGTATATATTTCAATCTTTTGCATTAATCTACTTTAGAGGATGGAACAACCGAGATGGACCAATAGGTCCCATGTTGTCCCAAAACATTATGCTATGTTATATGTTATTACGGTCGAACTAGCTTATTTAATACTAAACCTGCAATATTCCACTAGTGTAAGAAGTTAAGATTTATACATTAAAAGTAGTTTTTATTTTTGGTCTCAGGTCTTATTATCACAGCTCGGACACTTTCAGGTAACAAACTGGAAAAGGGGATTATACGTTTCGCTCAACGTCATAATCGACACGTCAATAAACAACCAATTCTGGTTCTTTTCAACGAAGAAGGAATAGTAAGGCAGAGTTCATTTAGCTCATTTCCTGATAAGTATTTTCAGTACGAAATAATTGCTAAATTAGGTTAGGTGAAGTGATGAGAAGACCGTAACACCCTCTTTCAAGTCTAATATTTGCAATATAAAACAGGCAACTCAATTTTCGGTGCTCGTTTGCGGTCATTGCACGAAAAATTTGATTTTTAATTTATGTTTTTTTCCATCACGAATTTCTTTTGAACAAGCAACTAACAAATAAAACCGTCTGAAGTCTCCAACTGGTTGTGAAAAGGTTTGATTTGTGAAATTTCGAATAGCCACACTGGTCGATAAAGTCGATGAGAAATTAAAAACCTGAATCAAACGTTTGGACCTCAATTGACGGGAACAACGATCTACGTGGTAACATTAGGTTCATTTTTGAACTTTTAAATTATTATTAATTTTATGGTTGAATGTGTCTATAATTAAAATTTCAATCGCGTTTTCCTTATTCATAGGATTTTACACTAAGGTCTAATTTGTTTCGACG